TAAAATTGCCTTTTCTGAAAAAAACAAATCAAAGGAAGGTGATACAAGCTGCCACAGAGCAGTATTAATATAAATATAGGGGATCTTTTTGTAGTTTTCTTTTTGTTGGAAATGTCACCACACCCCAGATTATCATATTCTAGAGTTCATCTGTTCCTTTTTTTATAATGTCCAGTGGTTTATTCTATTTTATTGTAAATTTACTAGTCCTGGGCCACTGTGTGTAGAATATGGTGTGATATATAGTATCTGTTCCTATTCTTGGTTTATGGTTATTCATCTGGATTAAGGAATTAAAGCTATATGTCTGTTCTTGTTATTTTAGTTATCTCCCCATTCCTTATGCTCTTGGCTGTCTTCCTAGATCCCTTTTGATTTCTAGTAAGAAGTAAAAAATAGTGTCCTATAACAGCTAGATTGTATTTAATATGCTTTAGGACAATGTAGTCACATATTCATACTGTGGATTCATGTCATTTCAAGCAATGGTATATTTCTATAATGGAAGAAAAATCTTTAAAAAACTGAATAGTCCAATTGTTTCACATTCTAAACCTTTCATTCTTAGCTAAATACTTAATGTATGGTTTTACTTTACTTATCTATTTAGTCTGCAAATTTTCTTGAAAAATCCCAGGAAGCAATTATATAAATTTCCCAATATATGTTTTTTTTAACCAAACAATTTCAAAGAACATTTTATTTTTTACCAATATATCCATCTTTATGTGCCTTTATTTTTTTATGAATGCTACTAAGCAAAAATGGGAAAAAGTACAGACAAATGAATAAGTTCACACTTATTGACTGAATTGAATGAATTTTTCTTCACGATTACATTCTTGGATGTGATGTGTAAGGAATGCTAAACAACACCAACAAAGAAAGAGAGAATCAAATATAGAATCTGAAAACTGGATTACCAAGTCTTTGGAGATGGATTTGATATGGAACTTTAAAATGAGATGTAACCATTTGTTCAAGTATCTTTGATATTTTTTTTGAAAAATATCAATTCAGACTCTGCAGCAATGTCAGAGCTATACTTTACAAAAGGCTCTGATTGTGTTTAAAATCTCAGTTGGACTTAGAGCACTGTATCAATTTTTTGGATATGATATTTATTCTTTATTCCCATATTTATTGTATTTTGGGGAGAGCATACTGCTCTCAGTAGTAGTCCTAAACACTTTTAATGCATATTGTTTCATGGACTTCAAAAGTGAGTTGTTTTTCATTTGTGGCTTTTGAATAACTTTGGCGATTCAAATGAATAATGAGTATGGCTCAAGAAAAAAACAACATAGAAAAGCAAGTTCTCTTTTCATGGAGAAGCCTCAACATATCTAACCTTCTACTGACATTTTTTAGCTGAAATAGCTCATAATAAGAACAAGACCTTTGTTCTGTAGGGCACAAACAATGCTCAATAAACTCAAAAACCTTTCCTTCCATTATTTATTTAGCTTTAAAACCACCCACTTACTTGGTTATCTGAATGGTATTCAGTGCAGTTAAAGCATACATAATAAAAACAGCAGAAGAAAACATTTGTGGCTGGAATAATAATCAAAATGTAACACATAAAATCCCCATAAAAACAACAGCAGCACAGATAATATGAACTTTCCTGAAGCCTTTAAAATGGCTCTTAAATGTGTAGACTTCCAAGGAACAAATGATGAACTGAAGAAAAGTGTGAAAAGTGGAGCTGATGACCATGGTGAATAGATTGGTTCTTTGGAATTTCTTTCCAGACACAGCAAGAACTTGAGATCAGCCACAAGTCCTCCAGACAATTTTCCCCCGCAAGGAGATCACAAGATAGAAATATCTGATGGGTTGTGAACTCTGGAAGACGTGGGAGTAGCCATCACGCTCAAACTGGGGTTGGTGTCTTTAAAAGGATGATTTACATACCTCCTTTTCTAGTCACTCTAGGAAGGGAGCTTTTCACTTATTAGAAACCTTTGGATGAGCAAGTTTTATAGCACATGATGAGTTGTATGCAATCATTAGAGAAAGAAGTTTTAAATACTAAATAAAAGTTAAAGATTTAACTTTTTTTCTGAATAAGCAGCAAAAGAGTGATGACAATCTTAATTTTAGAAAGTTACAGCTGGACTAAGTGTCCAGATAAATTTGAAATAAGATTTTGGAATTAATTGTAAATAATCCTTCCTGTGGGAAAATGCTTTTGTTTTGTATTTTAAAATGCAAATATCTAAGATTTAAAAAAAACTGGACATTACCAGGAATTAGAGGGAACTAAAGATTACAATGAAAGGAAAAGAACTCTCAAACTCAATTTAAAATTATAGAATGAAGCAAATTTTTTTAAAACTGGAGATATTGAAGGATATTTTTGAACAAAAAAAACCCCAAAGTTAATTGTAAATCTGCCTCCGCAGATACACTGGGTTTGAAAAATGCTATGAAAGAGAAACAAGTTTTACCTGACAACATTGAGACTGTTTTGAAAATGGAATTAAAAAATAAACTACAAGAATGACATGGAAATAGATGTTACAGTGGGCATACAAAAGAAACTGGTTTATGTCTTAATCCTAAAATGGGATATACAAATAACAAACCAAGAGAGTAACCTGAATCATTTTCTTAACTTTGATTTACAAAAGAGGCTTGTTAAAGTTTTGAAGAATGTTGTGAAAAGGGGCAAAGAAAAAAAATGAAATGAAACCAAGTTCTATGACATTATTTGAAGGATTAGATTATTAGAAGCAAAACGAAGAAATATAAAGTTGGTTTACCTTCAGCTTATCAAGTACTTAGCAGGGGAGGGCTTGGCAGCACAAGGAAATAACAGCCAATGCCTTAATAGCAGCTATCAACACCCCAATCTATTTCTAAAAAGCCGCACACAATGGCACCATATAAATACCGCATACAAAGCACACACTCTGCCAGAGAGAAGTTCCCTGAAGATGGGCTCCAGCATGAGTCCAAAATTTCAGAAGACTAGCTCCAGCAACCCACCTGGATTTGGGACTGCAAGAAGCCGCTGAGTTGCAGCCCAGCACAAAGCCCAGCCCAGCCCAGCCCAGCCCAGCAACATGGCGTACAGGGGTTTCTTGGTGCATTGAAGCCTTTTACAATACAAAGCCCAGACCCATCCCATCTTAGCAGCATGGTGCAAAGTCACAGCTACCCCATCACAGTTCCAGATGCAGTTGCCTTTGCCATCCTGTACTCTGAGGTCTCAGTTAACTCACCCAGTTAAGCTTTGCCATTCTCTTGTTCCTGTTGCTGAAAAGTGTGTGTGTTAGATCAATTAATGAAGTTTCATTTGTATGTTAAATACTTAAAATAGTTTGATGAACAATAAAATAAAGCTTTAGTTGTAACCACAGGTTATAACAATGTTTCTTCTTCTCCTTCTCCTTCTCCTTCTCCTTCTCCTTCTCCTTCTCCTTCTTCTATTCAACTGGATCTGATTTTCAGAGACTGCCTGGACAAAAAACTGCCTGCAGTTTTTTTAGCAATAAATTTTCAGACATGGTCTGCCATTGCCTCTTTTCCAGGGCTCCAAGAAGAAGACTGGCCCAAGGTCACCCAGCTTGCTTTGTGCCCAAAGCCGGACTAGAATTCAGTGTTTCCCAGTTTCTAGCCTGATGCCATAACTATTAGACTAAAAGGCATTTGAAATTGTACTGTGTGGCAATGATGAGCATATAGTTGAAATGTTTTAAATTGCTATTGAAATTGAATTTGGAGAATGAATATGTGAAGCATTGTATGATTCAATGAGCAAAGAATTCTGGATATAATCTAATGCTTGAATAATCGGAAAACATGGATGAAGGATTTAAAATTTACTTTGACTAAAACTTAAAGAAAAACTTTTATAAAATGATGTACTGATCGTATTTAACACCTGACAAATTCCCAAAGATATATAAAGGTGTTTCAAAAGTATGTTGGAAATATAAATGCAAAGAAGGAACTTTTTATCAGCTTTGGTGAAGTTGTGACAAAGCAAAGAAATATTGGAAAAAGATTCATATTTTAATACATAAGAGATTCAATATATATATATATAAATCAAACCAGAGACTTTTCCTTTAGGTTTAATGGGCAAAGAACTTGAAAAATTCTGGAACTTCCTTGTTATATATGTTAAGAGTCATGAGAATCCAAAAATGGAAAGATACACTAATTCCCACAATAATGGCTGGAAAAACTGATGAAATTGACAGAGATGGCCAAATTAATTGCTTTATTAAACAAAGAAAAGTATACATCCATACTTTTACTTGCAAATCAGTTCTGGATTTTGTGCTTGGGGTAGAAAAAGAATGGAACTTTGATTTTATGATTAGACACATTTGGGGTTAAAGAAATAATCTAGTACATATTAAATATGCAAAAGTAAAAAGTGGAGGCTGTAATGTTATTCTTTTTATTCTATTGTCTTTATCTCCTTTATCTCTTTTTTCCCTTTCCCCATTTCCCCACTATTTACATTTGTATTTTATACTTTGATAGGCTTAATAAAATTGTGTGAAAAAACACCACTAGATCAAACTTGGTTTCCATAACAATGCAACAGAGCATAAAAATAATAAAACTATGTAACAATAATATTTTAAAAAGAGTAAAATGAATAGGAGATATAAGATGATCAAGATGAGTACTACAGGTGAGAATCTATTTTTTTTTTAATGGCAACAAAGCAAAAATAGCAATTTGACTACTGTAAGTAGGAATCACATCTGGAATAAGACAATTCAATTTTATGATCCGAGTTCTTGAGCTCATTTTTCATCATCAGTTTGGCCGTGATCTCATTGTAAATGGGGCACTGAAGGAGCTAACGAGTAATGTTCTCCACTTGACCAGTATCCCAGGGATATTTATTTATGTACAAGGAATGCAAATAGGTTTCAACTTTTCTAGCGAACAAAATAATACAAATTGAAACTTCTCTTGCCTAATCATTTTGCAAAGTAAAACCCAAAAACTGCTTTTAAGGCACCTACTTGAGGTCTTGAGAAGGTTCAGCTCTGATATGGGGGGTTTCCACAGAATGCTCAAATACAGCCCCTTCTGTGCCTACAAAAAACACATGAATAGAATACAGGATTGTTACATTCCATGTCAACATTTCATTTGAAAAGTAATGAAGCCCCCTTTCTGAAAAACAAGCTTAATTAATATTAATAAGGTAAATTAATATTTATGAGATTTATTTTAATGAAATTTATTGTAGAAGAATTTTAAGACAGTGCAACACATGAAAACATTTTGATTAATCTCACTAAAAGTAACAGCCTGTAAATAGGTAAAATTAATGGGCACTTCTTCCTATTCCATTATTTCCACAGAAGCAGGAGGTCCATGACAAGACCTGCTAAGGTATCTACTTTCTCTGCAGTTTTGTAAACAATCCTTTCCTTTCATGGAGCTATAAGTCTACAAAGTATACAGCTGTTGAAAGCAATGACTGAATTATCTTCGTAATAGGTGTGTAATATTTATACTTGTTTAAAAATGTATAAAACCCCCTTGCACCCAAGCCTGGCTCATATTCAGATCTTCAATATCTTATAAAATACCTAAGTGAAGATAAACAACTTAAAGAAAATGTTTTTGGCATAAAATACAAATTGATTAAATGACTTACAATAAAAATTATTATCTTACATTATTAAATTATTTCTTTTCTAACAATCTTAACTTTTTCTTGTTACCATTTAATGTGCTTTAGAACAGTGGTTCGCAATCTTTTCTTCACCACAGTCCCTGTTTAAATAACTTTTTTGGCCATGGACCATGGCCACGGACACCCCCCGCAAGACTCAAGATTTAAATCATGAAATTTCTTCATGCCTTCACAGACTCCCTGTGATGACATTGCTGCCCCCCTGGGGATCTTCAGACCACAGATTGAGAACCACTGTTCTAGAAGATTGCTAAAAACCAATCACTGAAAAACAACAGTCATCTATTTTCAAACAGGTAGAAAGCAGATTAGAAGCATTGTTTTCATGTTTGTGGCAAACTAGAGTTAGCTTTTTTTTGCTTGTTATTCAGAAAAAGCATGTTGTGGTGCTCATTAACAGTAATTTTCTCTCACCCAAGAACCCACACCAAGAACAAATGGTCATTAAAAAACCTGAAAGATTCTTATACAATGTATACAATGAAAGGGGAAGACAAATCCCACAAGCCCAGCAATTCATAAAGCTTGTTTCTGCTCCTCAGAGCTAGATTTTCCTCATGGCTGAGCTGAAAGCCACTATCTTTTTCATTGGTAAATATGAATTTTCCTCTCTCCATTATAAATCCACATCCTGCCTCTGTTGCCTGGTACAAGTCAACCTTTCACCTGATATAAAGACATGTGAAAATGACCTTGTGAAATGAGCTTCAGCTACAGCTCATTTGATCCAATAAGCAGCAGCTTAACCCTTAACCTTAACCCATAGAAGGAATGTGGGCAGAGCAAACTATCTTAGAAAGGACCCTGCCTAATGTTTTGGGTTATACAGGAAACAGAGGAGAAAAATACTTGCAAGATTGATAGCCTTGCCAAGTAGACAGGAAACAAACCGAGATGAATTAATTCTATCTTATTGTAAGATTAAATTGACAGAATTTTGCAAGTCTGGAAATACATTTCTCCCCTGTCACTGATAACAACCCAAGAAACTAGAGAAGGTCCATTCTGAGATATTTGCCACACTCCCACATTAAGGAGCATCCCAGTGGTGAAATCTTCCATGGTTTGCCACCCATTCACTGCCCGCTCATGCGCAATGCACACCAAATACATGCTATGTGTGTGTATGTGCAGTGCAGCCAAATGCACGCTGTGCATGCATGCAAAGTGCACTCCAAATACATGATGCGTGGGCATGTGCAATGCACACCAAAAGCACAATGCGTGTACATGCTCAGTGCATACTGCGCACAGAAAAAGAAGGCTTAAGAAGGTAAGTAGAACAGCGAGGGGGGGGACAGTTGTGCCACATGATTTAAGTTTGCTAGAAAGCAGGATTTTCTGCTTTCTAGTGAATATAAATCACGCGGCCACCTCGGCCTAAAGAGCCGAGGTGGCACAGTGGTTAGAGTGCAGTACTGCAGCTACTTCAGCTGACTGCTAGTTCAGCAGATCAGCAGATTGAATCTCACCGGCTCAAGGTTGACTCAGCCTTCCATCCTTCCGAGGTGGGTAAAATGAGGACCCAGATTGTTGGGGGCAATATGCTATTTAGTATACTGTCTTTGGTATAAGCCGCCCAGAGTCCTCGGAGAGTAGGTGGCATAGAAATACGAAAAATAAATAAATAAATAAATAATCATTGGAAATACCAGTAGCTTTTTAACAACTGGTTCATCTGAACCGGTAGTTTTTTTTTTTACTACCGATTCACCCAAACCGGTAGCTTTTATTACTACCAGTTCACCCGAACTGGTGCAAACCAGTAGCATTTCACCCATGGAGCATCCTTTCTGAGAATTTTACCCCTGCCCACATTCCTTATGTAGGCTAAATTGCCTCTTATCTGATCGTTTTCCTGGCTGTGGCTCTTTCCACTGTCTGGCAAGGTCATTCCTGCATACCATTACATCAGGAGAAAGGAAATTCCAGTGGAATGGTAGAGAAACCTAATGGATACTAAAGGCTACTCTTGAGGGCTTTGAAAAAAGAGGGGAAAAACTTCATTAATACTGAAATAATTAATAGTGTTTTAAGCTTATCTCACTCAAACACTGGGCATGTTGCAGAAAGAAGTCACCCACGTATGTTTATGCTTTGGTTAGGTAAGGTTCAAGTCCACTACTTGAATGCTAACTGACCACATTTCCCAATGAAAGTAATGAATCAATTTGTTATTTTGAGTAGGGATTTTGAGAAAGATTTCCTGATCAAGACTTGGATAACAACATTAAAATGACCATAGAACTTCCAGTGAAAGATGAATTTCCAAAGTCCCCAGATTGAACCTGTTTGTGCCCCCAGTTCTTACCATGGTAAAAAAAAACAAAAACAACAACAAAAAAAACCTCCCATTCAATTCTCCCATCTAGTTGCTAAATACATTTCCTCTTCTCTTTATTTGATATTGCAAGTGACAGGAGCATAATCTGTGAGGGACCAGACATCCTTCTTTTTTCCTTTTTCTGTCTTTACATGCACTTTAAATGCACTGTCATGTCTCCCAATACATTGGGTTTTGCTCCTTAATCCATCAATCATTATGCATAAAGAAGGAAGAAAGGAAAGAGAGAAATCTGCTTCCTTTTTGCCCATTCAATATTTCAGTTTTCAATACTTCTTGCAATGTAAGTAAAGAGAAGATGGGAACATACTGTGAAAGTAAGTAAAAATTTGAAAGGGCATTTAAGGACTGGGGCAATTTTTCCTCCTTCCAAATTTGGTGATTGGCTTTAAAAGAGATTTGTGTGTTCTCTCTCTCTCCCCCCCTCTCTCTTCCTCTCTCTCTCTTCCTCTCTCCCTCCCCCCCTCTCTCATATAATTGCATGCATACACATACAACACACAGACAGATAGACACATACAGAGTACAAAATATGCATCACTGAAATTATTACAACCAACTAATTGAATTTAATTTTAGCCTCCCATATTAGACAACAAAAAATGAAGGTGCAGTACTTTCTCTTAAGCTGCCTGACCCTGAAGATGGAGGGATCAGCCATAAAGAGATTAGAGATTAGAGCAGACAGAGCATTGAAAATCTTCCAAGAGATATCATTCCAATAAAGCAAGCAATGCCCTGCAGGATAAATGGAGCTGTTTAAATGGCATGATTCTAAAAGATATTTATCTGATGCAGAGCTCTGTGTACATGGCATTCATCCTAATTCAGTACAAACCACATCTAGTCATGCATTTGCAAATTGTCCTCCCTTGAAACTATGGAAACTAAAGATGTAGCGCTCTCAGACACTGACTGGGGTAAACTACTTATTCTGCTCAATTTACCAGTTACTGAGATCTAACCTTTAGAAAATGACAATGAACATGGTTTCATTAATATCACTGGAAATATATATTATAAATTACAGCGTCGAAAGCTTGGTGATAATGTTGGTAGCTATGCATCCAGAGAATGAACAGAGCAAGAGGATACTTGTTATATAAATAGCAAATGAAAGAGTTTCTCTATATAGCATCTTGCTCTCAAAAGGAAAACACACACATGCACACAAACACACAGAATAGTAGCAAATAGTGGCAAAATTGGGTAATTACGTTCTTCTATTGAGAGAACTGTATATGCAATTTAAGAGAGAGACTGTTAATTTAATTACAGCATTTGAGGCCAGAGTAAATGAACTCAGCTCTAGGGGAATGTATTGTTCATTTCAGATAAGGGAATTAAAAAAATGATTGCAGAGTTTGCTGAAATTAATTTACAACAATCTAGAAACCATGTGGGTTTGCTTCTCAGGAAAAGCAAATGGAAGGGATTTTAGTCACAAATCAGATGGGAATTACAGTGGTTCTTATCTTGCAAGAATTGGTCTCAGTGAAACAAATAAAAATTAAGATGAAAGCTAAAAATATGAAACTAAAAAAAAAATCAAAAGAAACTTTAGTTGTTCATGTCTTTGATGAAAGATTGTTAGACATGACTGTGGAATGAAATGAGTGAAATTTACCTTTAGGTAAATTCTAAACTGACTGAATCAGTTTAATCAGGTAGATTAGGGGTGTCAAACTCGTGTCATCACGCGGAGTCACGTGACGTATTGCGACTTTTCCCCCTTCGCTAAACTGGGGATGGGTATAGCCAGCATGTGATGCATCTGGCCTGTGGGCCATGAGTTTGACAGCTCTGAGGTAGACTGATTAAAATGAACAAACAAATAAAAACCATAAGATGCTTCATTTAGGATGATACTTTCAGGCAATTTTAGCCGGAAGTCATTTTTTCTCCCCTGCACTACAATATATGGATAATGTAGAGAAGGAAATTTAAATATGATCTTAAGTCCCATGACAAATTAATATTATGGAATAATTATAAACTGAAATAGCTGGAAAATCTTTTTCATTTTTTTTGTGCTGCTCACTATCA